TTTCGGGCGATCCGAGCTTTCCTTCGCGCTTGCCGAGCTCGTAACTGAAGGAGATGAGGAGACGGCCGTACCCGCGGCGTTGGTATTGAGGGAGGGTTAAGATACAGGCCAGGTTGTAGCCTTCCGCGGAGTCTTTTTCCTTGGAGAAGTAGCCGACGAGATGGCAGCCTGTTTCATCTCGACTGCACATGCAGTAGAAGAGGAAGGGGTCGACGTCGTAGTACAGTGTTTTGTGGTCGAGGAAGAGTTTGCTCAGCAGACAGAGGTTGCGACACCAGGTTCGTTGGCGGCGACCGTCGACTTCGAAGAATGAAATGTAGTCGTCCCGGTAGATTTCGTTTCCGGGCGGGTGCACGAGGGTGCATTTGGAACGGTGACGCTCGAAGGCGCGCTTGTTGTCGAAATATCCCAGACAGAACTCGTCAATGTATACGACGTCTGCGTCGGAGAACGATGCCGGGTATGGTGAGAAGTACCAGGGCTCGATATCGTATTTGCCCATTTGGAGACGGGTCAAGTTTCGCACGCGGTGAATCTCTGTTGGGTTCTGGGTCATACTACCGCTAGTACGTAGGCGTTCGATTTCTTCTTCGCGCGACATCAGACCTAGTGCTTTTGCTTCTTCTTTTTCATCCTTGGAAAATCCGACATCGATCATGTCGACATCATCCGAGTCGGGCTTGGGGGTTCCATCCGCGGAGACAGCTTCTGAACCCCCGATGGAGAGGTTCACGGGAGTCTCGTCGCGGTTCTCTTTGCCGCCCGCTTTAGACGGACGCTGGGCTTTGCCAACGTTAGTGTTCTTTCCAGTCAGAAGATCAGGCGTTGCTGATACATCCCGGCTTTCGGCCCTAGCACGCTTCTGGGCGTTCTTGCTAGGTGCCTTGTTGCCAGGGCCGGTCTTCTTCTTCTCCGGTTTCTCTGGCTGAGGCCATTCGACCTCATGTGACAGGTCTATTCTTCCGGAATCAATCCATTCTAGATGCAAAGTGAGTATGAGCAGCATGATAGGTCAATCACTAAAGCACGACTTACCATCAAGACGCTTGTTGAAGTCGACATAGTGGACGCTGAGGTTGTCAGTACAAACATCACAACACTTCAAGAGGGACATGAAACATACTAGAAAGAAGGACCATCTTTCCGCTGCTTTATCGAAAGAATTTCTGCTTTTCGTAGTTCTCCATCCTACACAGACAGACCAGTCAGTGATCATTCCGATATTGGGCAATCCCCAGTATAGAGAAGGCATCATGTGACTTCCACGGCCGCACCGCAAAAGATCACGACGAACAAACTGACCTTCTGCACCATGGCCTTGACACCGATCCTATCGCCTTGATTAGTTCATGCGACCGAGGAAAGCAGGGCCGTAAAGCCCAAAGCCTAATTCAAAGAATTATTTCATCGACTTACCGGATGGTATTGAGGGTGGCGAACCCCTTCTCGACGGGGTCCGGGGTCCCGGTGGCCTCGTCCCTGCCGCCCATATTGAAGAAGGGGTGATTCTCAGTATATCTATAGAAGTTATTTAGATGAAATCGCTATGTGGAGCGGATTGCGCGATGGAAACGCGAAAGGGGATCGTAGGAGGTGATGGAGGATTCTCCGTTACGATGCACCGGAAGAGACCGCCTTAGATTTTTGCCATCCGCTTTTGGTCATCCATCCATCCCCAGCTGCGCCGGTTACTTGGATGGATCCGTCGGGTTCGTGCTGCTGCAGTGGTAATGGTCTATATCGCCCTACTCACCATGGCATTGCTTGCGGGTTGAGGTGTCTGAATTGTAATAGCTTAAAATATGGGTATTACAGTAGCTAATATAAAGTATTATGGAATTCGTTTAAATTGGTTCTGGTCATTGAAGACGAGAAGCATACTACTACTATATAGCTTCAGTATATTTATCCGCTAAATAGTACAATCATGTGAGTGTGATCGCAATAATAGCATCAATACTTAGTACTAGCAATGCCGAAGCACACACCAGTGAGCCAGCAGAGCACGTCGGTCAGTAGTACTAGCCTCTAGTAGTTGATAGGAAAGTATAATTACATTTCGAGCTGCAGAAACGCAGATTCAAATTCAAGCTAGGTATCTGTTTTAAACCACTCAATGCCACCCATTAACCATTCCCCCTGTTCCTGCCACGAGCTCATCAAGCTCGTCCTTCCGGGTCCTATACAGGTCTTGAGCTTCCCGCTCTCTGCGCATCACGAATGCCACGTCATCTCTCAATTTCTCAAGTCTCCGTGAGAGAGCGGACTGTTCCGAGATCTGCAGAGTACGGAAGGCATCCAGCTCATCCGTCGTCTTCTCTAGGGCTGTGTGGGCTTCCACTATCTTAGTCCGGAGCATCTTCGCCCGGTTCTGATAGCCTCCGTAATGTAAAGCGAGCTTCTTCTCCAGCTTGTTGCCCCGTTCTGCCGTGGCCAGCAGAGAGTTTTGTACATTGTCGAATGCAGCAATCATTCGCTGTTCTTGTTGGTACACATCCTCCTCTTCATCGTCAGCATAGTTGGAAAGCCCTGGTAGCGCGCTGGAATGTTTTGTGGTCCAATGCTCGTCGAAGTTTTCCTGCCACTCCTGCTGCTTTTCGGATGTGGCGGCTTCCGCTGCAATAGCCGCACGGGCTTGTTCCATGAAGCTGTCATCTAATTGCTCCAGCTTGCGAGCTTTGCCCTCCACTTTAGCACCGGGGGTGGGGAATTTGCGGGCGTCGTGCGCAATGAGAAGAGCAGCTTCCTTTGCGACAAGACTGGAGATGGGATCCGTGATGTGAGACACCCGTTCCATCATCGCATCGATATCAAGTACACTCGGCCGAGGTAAGGATCGCTGGTACACCTGTGATTGACGCTTGAACTCGGCCGCTGCAGCGCGCTCTCGAGCCTCTTTCTCCCTTCTATCGCGCTCGGCGGAATCCTCTTCCACGTACTCAGCAGCAGCCGTTGGTTCCGTAGATTCGGAAGGAAGCTCTTCCAGCTCCCATTCCGTTTCTTTGGGCTTTGGTAGGGCTGCCAGCTTGCTGCGGATGCTTTGACGCATGAAATTCTCGTGCATCTTGATATCTCTGGGGGTACTTCCAATCAGCTGCCCACCTTCTGCCTGGTTCAGAGCGAAGTGATCCCGAGGGGTCCGCAAGGGAGTGGCACCAGGCCCAACACCACCTCTCATAGGGGTTGCACCGACGCCATTGGCTTGCCTAAATGGTGTTGCCATCGGGTTGGGCGTAACAATTTGCTGACGACGCGGAGCGATTCCATCAAATCCAGTGGAAGACCCTCCCTCATGCAGGGGAGTGTTCTCACCTCCCAATAACGATGATTGGGTCTCGGTCAAAGCTCTGATGTTGCGGATTTCGTTCGCGATGTGATCTTCCTCTGGCGGCGCGCGAGGTGTTCTGATGGGAGTTCCACCGACAATGCCAGTATAGTTTCCGACCAGACCACGAGCCCCTTCTTCGTCTCCCGCCATTTTACTGGCTCTATCACCTGCCATACCCATCTTGATGATGTCTTCCATTTCACCTTCGCTGACCTGAGGGGCCGGGAGGACAAGGGATCTTCGCTTGCTGCTTTGCTCCGCCTCGCGGATCTTCTGCATCTGGCCGGCACGAGCAGCAGCGGCGAACGCCGCGGAGTTGCCACCCTTGTCATTCTTCCTCTTCTTCCGCTCCGCCTCGTCATCCTGATCTCCCTTCCGCTTGTTGGCGAGCTGCTGTTTGCGAGGATCGAACATCTCACGTTGCCTCTCATTGCGGGCTTCTTCGTCCATGGTATCGTAGAATCCGGGGGCTGCTGGCTTTTCGAATGGGATGTCGGCGTTATAATCCATTTCACCCTGTTTGCGGGTAACGACCTTGATGTTAATGCCAGCATTTTTGAGTTCACGTCGTTTCTGGAGGACTGCAAGTCGTCGCGATTCTTCCAATTGTCGCTCTCTGGCCTTCCGCTTCGCCTTCTTTCCTTGTGTGTTCGCCAAACGAGCGCGAGCTTCACTCAGCATTTCCTTCTCATCTTCGTCGAGGTCAATGGTATCAGGACGAGCGGGCTTAGATTCCGGATCGGGGTCCAATTCGCCGGGTCTAGGTACTGTCAGCATATGAAAGAGAAGCTAGCAAAGCGTGTGGTATCAAGAGTCGTACCGTAGCCGTCGCACATCGTCAGCACTGGGAGCAGCTGACTCTGCGCCGGGTCCTTCCAAAGCAAGTTCATCGTTCTCACGCGCTTCCGCTTCATCCAGCAATTTCTGATAGCGTTCCAAGCACTGTGTTGCTGTCCGTCCCACGATAGGTGCGATTGTACGCCACTGTGTTGGCATCAACTTGGCCAAATGCAACAGCTTCTCATCCTCCTCCCTCGACCACTCGACCTTGCGGATGCCGGGATCCAGCCATTCCACCCATCGCGCCTTGCACTGCTTTGGTGTCTTTCGTGCTAGCAAGGAAGAAACACGCGCCCACTGGTTGAGACCATACTTCGAGACCTATTATATGTAGCGTTAGTATCGCCAATCGCAGACCAGTCGGCTTTTGGACAGGAGTTAGCTGTAGCATACCGCCGCGCGAAGCACCTCATCCTCGATGTTCGTCCTAGCTACAGTTAGTGAAATGCAACAAAAAGCATGCATAATAGCTATGCACTTACCAGACACCTCCTTTGACGACAGGCATGGCTGGGCAGTTCTGCAGCCGCTGACAGCGACAAATTGATAAAAAACAAAAAGTAGTATAATACAGCGACGAAGCGCAACCAGAGACGAAAATATATTAACGATTTGGACTGCTTGGTCCAGGCTGACCAGAGTCGATAAGGAACCGACGCGGGTGAAAAGCAAGGTCAAGTCCTGAAGCGGCGTTCGTCACTGCCCGCGATAGGCGCGCAGAACCTTAGCGCGACAACCGCACTAGCGTCGCCCCGCGCATTCTTAGGTAAGCGGGTCCAGAATTTTGGTTGGAATATTCAAAAATTAGTACTCCGAAAAAAGATCAAATATTTACAAGAGTACTGCACACCGATTAAATTCCGGTGGGGTCTCCGAGATGTCTGAAGCCGTCAGTGCACCAAAGCAGTATAAGCAGCCTTCTCGCAAAGGCAAGAAGGCCTGGCGCAAAAATGTCGATATCGATGAGGTTCAGGAAGGCCTTCGGGTTCTGAAAGAAGAAGAGATCAAAGGGTAAGGATTGATGTCACTTTTCTGCCAACGTGGGTCACAACAAGCTAATTCTGGTCGCTTTCTCCTAGTGGTCTTCTTTCTGAGAAGCCGTCCGATGAGCTGTTCGTTATCGACACCAAGGGTTCGTCAGAAATCCGTGAAGCGTACAAGAAGAAGCACAAGCCTTTGAAGTCGGAAGAAATCTTGGCGCAACGCTCCGCTATCCCAGGTCTCGACACACGCAAGCGCACTAACTCCAAGGTTACCGACGGTGTTATTGAGCCGAAAAACAAGCGTCAAAAGAGCGACTGGGTTACGAGGAAAGACTGGTTGCGTTTGAAGCAGGTGGCTAAGGAAGGGAACCCGGTCATCAAGCCCGCTGAAAATGACCTATACGACCCTTGGGGAGATGCAGAGGATCCCACGCCCTTGGACGATCCTCAGTTCGACTTCCTGGAGAAACCGAAGCCCAAGGTAGAACCGGTCACCTTGAAGCAGGCTCCGATCTCACTCGCCGCGAACGGTAAGCCGGTTCCTGCGGTCCGCAAGCCTACTGCCGGAATCAGTTACAACCCGACGTTCGAGGACTGGGATCGGCTGCTACAGGAGCAGGGAGAGAAGGCGGTTGAAGCTGAGAAGAAGCGTCTGGAGGAAGAGCGTAAAGAAGAGGAAAGGCAGCGCCTAATCGCCGAAGCCCAAGACGATGATGGTATGGTGAAGTCCGATGATGAGAGCGCGTGGGAAGGATTTGAAAGCGAATATGAGAAGCCGGACTGGCTGAATAAGAAGCGTCCGGAGCGGAAGACAAAGGCACAGAGGAACAAGATAAAGAGACGCAAGGAAGCAGAGAGGCAGGCCAGGTGGGAAGAGCAGATGAAGAAGAAGGAAGAGCAGGCCGCAAAGGCTAAGGAGGCCGCCGAACTTGTGGAGGCACAGGAGCTTGCTCGTGCCGAGGAATCTTCGGACAGCTCTTCGGAAGAGGGTGATGATACCGTTTTGCGTCGGAAACCGCTTGGTGGAAAGCTATAGTAAGTGATCTACTCGTCTGTGTTTGCTTTGAGCCCTGCTAATCCAATCAATAGCGCTCCTGAGAAGCCTCTGGAGGTTGTGTTGCCAGACGAGTTGCAAGATTCTCTGCGTCTGCTCAAGCCCGAGGGCAACCTGCTGGACGACCGATTCCGCACTTTGGTTGTCCAAGGAAAGCTGGAGTCTCGCAAGCCGGTGACGCAGGCAAAGAAGGCAAAGAGAGATGTGACAGTGAAGTGGTCTCACAAGGACTTCAAGGTTCCGGGTCTGTAAATATTTACTCTTTTGGCGTTTGCTTGTGTCGGTTCTTTCAAGATAGATTCCACGTAATATGGCTAGTGCTGGACATAGAAAAGTTTGTATGAGCCTCAACTAAATCCATGAACTTTACGAATATAGGCAGGTCTCAGTGCTTCTGGTAGTTATACCCACCAAGACCCGATATATACACTGTAAAATAGTCCGTAGAATACACTTTGCATGTTGACCAGCAATATCTACTTCTCAGTGTTCGAGACTTGCAGGTGGGCCCGTCCGAAAATTTAGCGCGGACCGTTAAGGTTGCTTTTTGGAAAGTTGCCGGGCCAGTCTCCGCAGCGCCCATCTTTTTTCTCCGGCCCCTCTTGGATTCTCAGATCCCTTCACCATGCAATAGTTGGAGGCTCATCACTGGAATGGACTTGAAAAACCTCTCCAGCAATTGGAAGAAACTCCAGGGGACGCTTAAAAAGGACAGCGTCTCCACCACGAAACGGAAACCCTCAGATCGCGAGACGGAGAATGGTGTGGTAAAGAAGAGGAAAAGAGAGACTGTCGACGGACAACAAAAACCTGAGCGCAAACCGGTCTCGGCCAAGAGAAAAAGAATGTCTACAAACGGTACTGATGGCGGCGAGAATGGCGCTGAGCAGCCTACGAAGAAGTCGACGTCTCGGAGGAATTCTACGGTCACTGTTGCGGAATCAAAGCCGAAGATTAATGAAGGCCGTTCACCTACGTGAGTACACCTTTGCTGCCGATTTTGCGAAAAGTCATTACTCTGAATAACTACTAACGTCCTATTAGCGCGGAACTAGGAAAATATGTTGCGATGGATTGCGAAATGGTGGGCGTTGGCCCCAATCCCGATCACGACTCCGCTCTCGCGCGAGTCAGTATCGTCAACTTCAACGGTGAACAAATATACGACTCCTACGTGAGACCCAAAGAGATGGTTACGGACTGGCGGACGCATGTCAGCGGTATCCTTCCGAAGCATATGGTGGAGGCGCGAACACTCGAACAGGTGCAGAAAGACGTTATCAATATCCTCGATGGGCGAATACTCGTGGGACATGCGGTCAGTAACGACTTGGACGCTCTTCTTCTCAGCCACCCCAAGCGCGACATCAGAGACACCAGCAAACATGCCCCATACAGAAAGATTGCTGGCGGTGGCTCCCCTAGGTTGAAGATGTTGGCTTCGGAGTTCCTTGGATTGGAAATCCAGGATGGCGCGCATTCCAGTGTGGAGGATGCTAGGGCTACGATGCTCCTGTACCGGCGGGACAAGGATACATTCGAGCGGGAACATCTTAAGAAGTGGCCTGTGCGAGTAGTGGTCGAAAAGAAAGACCAAGACGATGATCAGAAGAAGAAGAAAAAGAAGAAGAAGAAGACCCGCAAGAGGTGATTTTGGATGCAATGGCTGGTTCTGTTCGATATACCCCAAGTTCATGAAGTTGAAGGTTATCCATAGAGAAGTTTAGTAAATAGAATATAGACAAGCATTATACCAAACTACTTAAATTGTAGAGATGTGCCTCGTAACACTTGTATATCAGTTAAGGACATGCCGCAATCAATGACCCCCCGCCAGTTGGTACTAAAGCGGACCGCGGAATTAACCGCCCTTTTCGCGACTACGCGTCGCGTTTGCTCAATTATCCTTGCCGACATCATTCCGAACATCTTTAGTACAATTGTCTACTCAACAGAACGAAATACGCAGATTTTCGAACTCTACATTGCTTAGACTGCATTACACGCAATTCCGTTTGACACACTTCAATATGTTCGCCATCCAACCCGCCCAGAACTCTTCCAACGAGACATCAACCGATAAATTCACTCCGAACATTCTGCCCTGTCGCATCCACCACGATGGCCCCGTTGACACGCTAGGTCGCTACTGGACGCCTACCACTGATGAGAAAGGTATAGACTAACTGCTTCGCGCCCGGCAATTCTCAACAAATGCTCATAGATCACAGATCGGAACCTGCAGACAGCCTACTTCCGCGGCCGCAAGCTAAGGGGTCGCCGAGTCGCAATCCCTGAAGGCTACGAGGGTGAGACCTACTTCAGGACATCAAATTTTGACAGTTCATTAATCTTATCGATTTAGGTGTCATTGCAACCCCCACAGACCGGACGATGCCTGCTACCCGTACGAGCGCCGACGTCGAGGTCGAGGAAGTCACACCAGAAGAGCCCGTGAAGATCCTTGAGAAGCAAGGCACCTTTGACGAATATGTGGTCTGGGGACATGAGTTTGTGCCTGCGGCAGATGAGACCTTTGTTAAGGGAGTGGAGGAGTGGATTAAGCTGGCTGAAGTGGTAGGTCGATATTCTTATAAGGGTTGTCCTCAGGCTAATGCAGTGTAGATGCATACGACTCCTGACAGTGAAAAGCAATCGTCTACTTGAGGGAAGGCTTACGGTGAACAATCTCATTCAAAACGAGGGCACATATTTGTGTCCGCGGGCTGGATGGGTTCCTTGACTAACCCTGTCAACACATGAGCAAAGCCCCCTATTCGATGCGTTCCTATCGCCATACACGAAGTCACACCACCGACCTACTGCAATCAGCCATATATGGACAAGGACTATGCTAGAGCCGTGGCGCTAGCGGCATGCCAAAGGTGGAAGGGACGTCCAAGCTCCGAGTCGCTTTATGCAGACTGCGATCTTGCCGGAAGGCTACGATTCAAGGACAGGAAATGGAGCACCAGGCTAGCTGCGCATGACTAGAGATACCCAACGGAAGAAGTTCTGTAACCACAACCATCTAGATAGCTGCTAGAGCCAAGCCAATACCACGATCAATCCGATAGAGATTCCATATAGATAAGCCTGACCGCCCTCAAGATTCTGCCGCCAGAACAAATATCTGGGGTAGGGTCAACGCTTTACAACAACTTCTATAGACACCCCTAATCTTCAACAGGCCCCTCACAATGTCCACTAACGATGCGAAGGTCTCGCCGGAGGCGCTCATCTCGAAATTCGAGGTGAGCAGACTTCTCAAACAAGGCAAGCAACCCTACCACCAGCCAGCCAGCCCCTCCATCACCCCTCCCTGCACATCCAGACAAGACCACTCTAAGCAACACGACTAACCCAACCCCCAAAGACCAAAGTGGCCGCCGCATCGCTATCCTGGGTAATATCGACAACCAGCAAGGCATTCTAATCGCCGAACGTGCCGCCTTTGCAACCGAAACTCCTGAAGCCCTCCAAGCCTTCCACGCCGCCATCACCGATGTCAACAATCTCGGCGACAACGACATTTACCGATGGTATCTAGCCTCTTCGCACTCCGAACCTGGAAGCCAACAGCCCCCGGACCTCAAGATCAACCTCATCTGGCCCTGCACGGAGTCACACATCAAGAAATACTCGGAGCAGGTTGTGCGCATGGTCACCGAGACACCGGAGATCTACCGGGACTCTATCCGTCCGTATGTGAGCGCGAAGCGTGAGGAAGGACGACTGAACTGGGTATTTAATATTCTTGAGGGTCGCACGGAGCAAGAGGACGTGATTCTTCGGGAGAAGGGACCTGATGGAACTGAGGAGGGAGGGTTCTTGGTGTTGCCGGATCTGAACTGGGATCGGAAGACGATGGGGTCATTGCATTTGCTGGCGCTGGTTATGAGGAGGGATATTTGGTCTTTGAGGGATCTGAAGAAGAAGCATATCCCTTGGCTGAAGTATCTGAGGGAGAGGCTGTTGGAGGAGACGGTTAGGGTGTATCCCCAGTTGGAGACGGATCAGCTGAAGCTTTATGTGCATTGTAAGTTTCCTTTCCTTTCTGGTGCTTTGCGCGTTGAGGTGTGTTTTACTGATGTGCATGTGCTGTATAGATCAGCCGACGTATTATCATTTCCATGTGCATGTCGTCAATGTCATGCTCGAGGCGGGTGCAACTCAGGCGACAGGAAAGGCGTTCGGGTTGGAGAACATCATCTCTCAACTGGAGACACTGGATGGAGACGGAGAAACTGGAATGGCGGATGTCAGCTTGACTTATTTCCTGGGCGAAGCCAGTGAACTCTGGTCGAATGTATTTGGGCCTTTGAAGCGGGGAGAGAAGCCGCTGCCGAATTGATAGAGTATACTAGACTCTAGAAAGTGATGAGTTACGATGCTACACCAATTACTCTTTTTGTAAACCCCATTAAACCAAGCATATATTTAAGTAGCGCTGTAAGCAAGCACGTACTTCCATTGTTGACGTAAATCTAATCTATAGACTACTTACTATATCGGAGCGGAACTAACTTTCCCTCGATTCGACCCCGCAACACCACCAACGACGTCAACCCCTCACGGCGCCGCCACACATCGCAAACTTTCCTACACATCTCTCACCCCTCACACAGTCAACATTTCCTCTTCTCAACAGCAAACCTCACTACTACATACAATCCACACATCCTCAAAATGGCCGACACAGCCGACGCCCCCCAAAGCAACAAGGCCTTCGTGCCCCTCGGTACCTCCCCTCCCCCATCACAACCACACCACACCACCCCAGCTAACACAAAATACCCAGAAAACAACCCCGAAGTAATGACCCACCTCGTCCGCCAACTCGGCCTCTCCCCCACCCTAGGCTTCACAGACGTCTGGTCAATCGACAGCCCAGACCTCCTCGCCTTCATCCCCCGCCCGTCCTACGCCCTCCTCCTCGTCTTCCCCGTCTCCGCAGCCTACGAAGCAACCCGACGTTTAGAAGACGCGCCCCTCCCCGAATACACGGGCTCCGGGGCCAACGAACCCGTAATGTGGTTCAAGCAAACGATCCGCAACGCGTGCGGTCTCATCGGGCTCCTGCACGCCGTATCGAACGGCACGCCGCGGAAGCACATCACCCCCGGCTCGGACCTAGATAACCTGCTGAAAGAAGCGGAGGGGCTGGGGCCGATCCAGCGTGCGGATCTGTTGTACGAGAGTAAGGCGTTGGAGAGTGCGCATGCGGATGCGGCGAAATTGGGGGATACGGATGCGCCGGCGGCGGAGGACTCGGTGGATTTGCATTTCGTGGCGTTTGTGAAGGGCGAGGACGGCACGCTTTGGGAGTTGGATGGGCGGAGGAAGGGACCGTTGGTTAGGGGGGTGCTTGGGGAGGAGGAGGATGCGTTGAGTGAGAGGGCGTTGCAGTTGGGGGTTAGGAGGTTTTTGGAGGTGGAGAAGGGGAGTGGGAGTGGGGAGGGGGATTTGAGGTTTAGTCTGGTTAGTTTGGGGGAGGTTTTTGATTGAGGGGGGTTAGTTGGTGAGGTGGATGTATGTGGTTGTTGTATACCCGATTACCATTATCTAGTATGGTAGATGATATTAGCGATGGTTGTGGCTGTTGTATGAGTATATCAAGCTCACATTCACGTATCTTTATCTTCTTCCCTATCAATCAATCAACCCACCATTCCTCAGAATTGAACTTCAGAACATCATCCCCACAAGCCCACCACCCAGCAGTCAGATTGCGTGCAAAGACCTCCAAAGCAGCATACGGCACACAACCCCCTGCCTCCTCACCAGAGTTAAAGAACATCCTCTCAAACAGCTCCTTCAAATTCGGCTTCCGAGAATGCACATCCGGAACAGCAGCAATAACCCTTCTCACAATACCCCCATCCCCATGCCCATCCCCACAAGCACTCTGCACTCTACCAATAACAAGAACCTCATACGGCTTCCTCCACAACCCACCCACCTCCACAATCGGCCTCCCATCCATCGTAACCTTGCACCAAACCCACTCCTCACAGACCTCAAGCCCAGCACCCCGAATAGCCTCATAGGCTGTTTTCCGCGCCTTCGCGGAATTAGTAATCCAGATGGCTGCTACGGGGCCCTTAGCAACTGCACTAGTGCCGTCTTCTCTGTTGTCGAAGGCATCATACTGTAAATACCCCCGTAAGACACCACATATACGTTCCGTGAGCAAATCCCAGCCTTTATAGAACTGCGTTTGATAATGCCCACTGCGCCGCACGGAGCGGTTCGTCCATGGTGGGTCGAGGAGGATTAGATTGAATTTTTGGTCGTGTGGTAGACCGGGGAGTAATGGCTGTGATGATGAATTGTGGATAGGTTCGGAGATGGGGATGGTGCAGCGGAGGAAGTAGGATGATGGGGGGATGTGGAAGGAGTGATGGCTGTAGTTTGTGCTGCCATTATTTGATGCCTCTGTTGTTGATGTTGATTGACAGCGTATCTTCACTGTAGCTGGCTCGATAGAGGTGTTTTTGACCAGGTTATTGGAAAGCTCTGAGATGGATGCGAAGGTGTTTTCTCCAGGTGATAGAATCAATGGAGGATCGTTGCGAGTAGGAGGTCTATTGAAGTGGATAGAGCCAGACTCTGAATTCAGACATGAACATGAACATGTGGTATTGCTGCGTTGCCGTTTCCTCTTCTTTGATGGTGGGATCTGTTCACTCTGGGCTGGGTCTTCTGGACTGCCTGGCGCATCGTTTTTTATGAGACTGCGAGGCAGGCACCACTCTTGAAATTTATTTTCAAGTGCTCCTTTGAGCTCCGCCAGCTTCTCAACCACTAGCGGCTCGATGGTCTCGGAGTGATATTGCCTCTCGGCAAGCGGGATTCTCTCTAGAACCCTCGCCCGCGCGGCCTCGGTCTTGGGCTCTGTCAAGGTTGGATAAGGTTCTCTCAAGGGGGCGGAAGATAAAAGAATCCTTTCTCCATGGTAGGATCCTCGGGTAGAAGAGGCTGGATGGGGTTGTGATGCCGGCGGCGTCTGTCCTGGAAGCGCTTGTGCCTGCGCGATGGAGCTGGGAATATCGATCACAAAGGCGGTGGCACTGGGGTTTTCATAAAGTATTGGAGACTTGATGGCCATGGTCTGCCCGGGTCAGACCGAGGGATTACTTGGAATAATGTGTGTTCTGACTTAGGGTGGCATTGTGACGGTTCGAAGGTTGGGAGAGGGAAAATGAAATTGATGGAAGGTGAGTTTTAGTGTTTGTGGTATTGGACTATATGCTAGGGACACTGGCGGCTTTCTATCGATAGCTACAACAATTATTGCTATATACCCATGGCTTAAACATTGATTACCCCTGTAACTAGTCTCTCGCTGTAAGCTTGTAATGTGTGATTCCAGCCACAACCAGTGGAGCACAGCTCAGTGGCTAATACAGCCAGACTCATCATCATGCAAACGCAGGCCATCGGTTGCATCCGCTTGGCTAGACCATCCACTCCTTGAGTAACCGAATAATAAGAATGAACAATACCATCTGTTCTCATATCCAACAGAATAATAGCAAAGAAAACATATAACCAAGCCACAAGGGGCAGAAATCACTTAAATGCTTATTGACATGACAAAGGCAACACCACTATGCTCTCAAATGGACAAAAATTCACAACACTTTTTTCTCATCTCGTTCCTCCTTCCTCCGTTTCCAAGACGATCCAGCGTCGGTCTAGGTGTGACAAGGGTCATTTCGTTATAGCCATACTACTCTCTGTATCCCGGAAATCGAAAAAAAGGGTAAGGGCAAAACTTTATACATCAGGTTGAAGTCAATGGCGAATTAAAGAGTTATAAAAAAGCCTCAATGCTGGAGATCAATCCGCATTAGCGTCGGTCGCCCAGGCAAGCCGTAGGCTCTCACATATGCTGGGGATGACTCACACGGCCACGTCGTCCACCCGCAGACTGTGTCTGAGCTGGCTGCGCTTGGGAATAGAACTGAGTAGGATACTGATACATCTGAGCAGAGTTCGTAACAGGGCTGAATTGCTGGGGGGCAAAAGTCGGTTGGTTCATCATAGGGTTGGAGTTCATCTGGCCAGGACCGCCAGCCAAGGGCACTCCCGGGGTCTGCAGAGCCCGAAGACTGTCAGCCGAAGGTGCTCCAGCCGGGTATCCAAAGCTGGAATTTCCGAGGCTTGGGTATAGTCCCGAGGGAGAGAGGCCCCGGGACTGTGCAGCTAGGTAGGCCTGATACTGCAGTTGTTGCTGGGTCAGAGGCGCCAAGGGCTCCTGGCCGAAGCCGGTACCATTAACACCAACTCCACCAACCCCGTTAAGAGGATTGAGACCACCAGCAGAACCAATGCTGTTCATTCCATTGATACTGTATGGATCAAAAGGAGCGGGGTTGGGCTGCTGCTCGGAGGCAACGGGCCTGGTCGCATCCAGACCTGGGCCTAGCATGGTAGGAAACTGCGCACCATATTGACGTTCCATGGACTGCTGGGAGCCGTAGTTTGACGCCGCCTGCCGGGAGGTTGGGCGATGCTGTTGCTTGTCCGAGTTGGAAACATGATCACGTCCATGATGATTGTCGCGAGCACCTCCCCGAGATGACAAGCCAACTTCGTCCATCAAACGCTTGTAGCCTTGACTGGGAGTTGCCTTCAGCTTAGTGAGAACCTTGGAGACGTTCTTCACCACTTCGGCGCGCATAGACTCATCAAAGAAAGGTGTGGTAAGAACCTTAAAGATCAGTGTCGCGCCCGATGTCTGGTCGCTCAAGATCTTCTCCAGTACCTCGTCGCCCGGGCTGAAAAAGAGAGCCTTCAACACTATCTCACGGGCATCTGGCTCGTTGCGCTGGTTAATCACCTTCAAGACAGTCAGGTAGGCGACCTTGTGGGTGCACAGGTGCACGAGATGAGGGACCAGGCGTGGTGCAAGCACGGTGCGACGGCGGGGGAAAGTGCAGGTATCCAAGAACCATGTCAGCAACAGAGCCCCGTTGGCATTCGTCGCAAGCTGGACGCTGTGGAGAGCAATGGCCGAGGCAAGCATGCGTTGCTGGTCCTTCGAGGCGTGGTGGCTTTCAAGGCATGCTCGCATGGCCCGAGCACCGAAGCGGCCCTGGGCGATCTCCCACATCCGACTGAGCATCGTCTCGAAGATGAAATCATTGAATGGTGCGCCAAAACGCAGGCAGCACTGGAGAACATAGTTGCCGTACTGGTCAAGGAATAACGGAACGGTGTATGGCCTCAGAGCATCAACAATCATCTGCATCTGGTTCGGAGTCTTGGCCACATCAATGATCTTCTGTGCGGCCCAGGTTCCGTTCTTGTGGACACCAATTTCAGCAAGGTGAGGCGCAATGGGTCCGAGCATCTGCTCCTTGGTGGATTCCGAGCAGAACTCGAAGAGCTTCTGGACGACAGTGTTTCCGAGATAATCCGACGCGAGCTCTGCGATTTCCGGCAGCATCGCAACGGCAGTTTCCTCAATCTCCTGGACTGAGCAAGCTCCATTATCGATCCTCTTGCGGATATCACGGAGCCGCGGTGCGTCGAACATCCTAGTTTGGCTGGGCTCGGCGATCGGGGGAATCTCATCTTCAAATGCATCAAAGGCAATTGCGCGATGGATGCTAGCGCTGATATTGTGAGCATCGTCTTCCGTGGCCCCGAACTCGGTGACGATTTGTGCCATTTCCGGCTGCAGCTCGGGAAGAGAAGGTATATGCGGAATGCTGGTGCCGCTCTCCGGTCTCACAATACCATCAGGTCCGTTCATGCTTGGATCAGGAGTCGGAGAAGACTGAGCTCCATTGACACCGGGCGTGCCAGAAGCAGAGGTGCCAGGAACTTTAGCATATCCGATCCGGACAGGGCCAGCGCCGGGGAAAATCTCCTTTCCGTTGAGAAGTGACTTGGCCTGAATGGCACTCTCAATGCGCTCATAGTTGACAAAGCCACAGTTCTTGTGGGTCAGAACGCGAGTAGACTCGATTTTGCCGTACAGGCTGAAGATCGCCTCCAAAGACGTGACCGTGGTGGAGACAGGAATGCTGCCAATCCAGAGAGCACGAGTAGGGCCATCCTGATTGTTCTCGTCTGCCAAGTCTCCCGTTTGCCGCATTCCCACGTTAGGCGCACCACTTCCACCAAGATGCATGAGCTGAACAGCTTCCGACAGCTCATCGTATTCTCCGCCTTCCGCGATGTTGAGGTCAGCGGCGCTAAAGCTGTTCTCGAGACGCGAAGGAGTAGCGAGGTAATTGCGGATTGACGAGCGCTGGGGAGGGGCCTCCAAAATTCCAGCCGTCCTGGCACGAGGTCGGCTGGCAGATGCGTGGTTGGCGAATGCCTGTACAGCAAGGTTGTGCTGATGAATCTGAGCCTGGGTTGCGGCCAACTGGGCTGCTGTTGCAGCCGCAGAAGGAGTAACGGTGCCAGAGGGAAGTTGCGAGTAGCGGCTCTCATACTCCAGGTCCTCGTCATCAGCATACTTCTCTTTCGCGTTCACCGAATACGAT